CCGACATCAACACCCCAGTCCAAGACTCTATGGCAATGGCTATTCTCATTCTTCAGCTCAGAGTCACAACCAAAGCGAAACCCACATGGACCTCTTGTTCAGCCAGGACTTTACCGCGCTTATAGACCCATCTACGATCAACTTGCCATTCTTCCCCGCCACAAGCCACTACCTACACCTCCCGTGGTTCATCCTCCCCAAGATCCTTGGCGGGTTTTCTTTCACGTATGGAAATCAGGTGGCCCGCCGTTCTCGAAAAAGAACCCACCACCGCCTGACTTCCGCTTTGCGGTGGTTGACGCAAGCGACACATGCGTTCCAACGCTCGAGCAAATCGAAGCTCTTCTAGAGTCTACACCTTCCGACCCGCCCAATGAGGCTTGGAAGGGCCCTGGAGGACGGATGTATCAGCGACTAAAGCACGGACACCGCAACGTCCTGGTAGCAGTTGTGGATCGCGGCCTCGTCAACTTTATGAGATTTGGCGAGGGAGCATTTGGAGAGGAGAGATTGTTTGAGAGATTTGATAATCAGGGCGGCCAGAGAGGTGGACCAAAGACAGGTCGTGGTGGAGGCAGAGGACGCGGTCGGGGTAGAGGCCGTGGTCGAGGACGGGGGAGGTGATGTCAGCTACAATGAAGAAATGAATGCAACGACATTGAATGAATTGACTTCAAAATCTGATCGTGCTAATATGTTTGCAACGGATCATGCAGATGAGCTGACGTGTGTCAGGTTTTCTCATAGTGCTATAGTAAGAGCTATCTCGTTGTTTGACATGCTATTGACAGACTAAGCTACCTGTCGCAATCAACTACTCATATTCATCGCGCATACTCGTGTTTACTGTACTCAACTTATTGTCGGATTTACAATGCCAGAACTTGGGCTCTGAGTTAGTACACCTTGGCAACTTCTTATGGCTCTGATGGTCATATGTAGACCCAACTACATAATTATCACCAACTGAGTTGATGAGTGAAAACAACTACAGCCCTGGGAGTTCACCCACAGCTGTATTCCAACATGAGATATGAGTCAGGTTTTACACTAAACAGGCAATGCTCGGCTAAGAATATCGACTGGTTCGCTTGTCCTCAAGTTCAACCAGTCGCAATTATGTGCTACCCGGGAGGCGTTTCACAGACATGACAATTCCAACACAATTGCACTCGGCTACCGTCGAATCTCCGGAACACAAAATCCTTGCCCTGAACAAGAACGACAGTGGCGTTGTTCCAGAGACCGAATATGCAGTTGTGGCGGACGAATCACATTGTGATCACAGTGAGACACTATTTGAAGAAGTTGACAACTCAACTTGGCAGAAGCCGACCAACAGAAATGAGGGAATTAATGACAACACGGCATAAAGGACTCTGAAACTCAGACAAGCATATTATGATGATAGACAATGCAGAGAGGCATAATTGGCGCGACGCTGTGACTTGTCTTAACCATACACAGTAAAAGAGTTGGTGATTCGCGAGACGTGCATAATTGGCAGAGAGGCACGGTAACTCTTGATAACCAACCAGGACGACCTAGCAGTGGGTATTATCGGCTCCTATTCAATCGAGGAAGGGCCTAGGGAACGAGAGAAAACCTGGACTTTTCCAATTCTCAGTGACATAAAAACCGAGATAGGTTTAGGATAACTTAAAGCGAACTTGGTAGGCTCTTTGACTAGTCTATTTTTGTCCCCTGATGGGAAGGTCTCTAGGTCTGAAAGACTTTTACCAGTATGACACTCTGAGGAGAGTACAATTTTTCTTAATAATAAAATTTACAGGGGTTGCTGAATTGTCGGGACTTAAGTGGGTGAGATGGGCCGATCGCGAAGACCCGGTTACGTTGCGAGATTGGGAACTTTGACGTTGAATCTGATGACAAGCGAGTCATGTAATATGAGTTCAAGTTTCACAAGTCTCTGAGGCAAAAATATGTAGAGGATCAGAGTCTTTGCGCAAAGCAATTGGTGTTATGGTTGTAAACATGTCTGTCCTTAGGATCTCATTCTTTCGTAAGCACTTGTACTAGATATCTTGCTTGACTGTCTCGGCGACCTCCAGATGGAGCAACGCTGACGAGAAGTCAGTCATCAACTCGTGTAAGCAAAGAAGAGGCAGGATTCGAGAAGACTGGCCGCGGGCGCTATGCCGGCATGGAGCTATTTATCCGTCCTTAGCCCTGCCACTATGTGCGTTACTGTACAATTCTGTACAACCGCTGGTTGTTGAGATGAGCTGAGTTGAGCTAATGTCCGTTGGAGTTTCGAGGGTTGATACCCTTTTTCGTTTTCATCCTCGGCAGTTTCACGGTGTAATTGAGCTGTCGACAAAGTTAACCATAGAGTTCAGAGTCCAAAGAACGGTCGCCATCAGATATTCATGTGAGATTGCCCAAGAGATAAATTGGCTGATGACTCTCACAGGAAGCTGAACTGCAATAAAAAGACGAACGATGCCCAAATTGAGAGGCGTGTGCTAGCGTCCAGATAGGGCGTGCGTATAAGCTCGGGAACCATGAAGTTGCGAGATTGCAGATTTTCCCACAAAAAGACTCGCTGTTCTCTATTGGCTACCGTGCAGAACTGGAACACAATGCTGTTACGTGATTGGCTCAAAGGAGCTAAATATGTCATCATAATCATAACGTACTGGCACTATTCAATCAGCACATGCCTCAACTTTTCAGTTTCCGGCATATGCAACATGAGGATATTGACTTTTTGGAGTGCTACCACAAGTCAAGGTTTCAAATTAACAACGTGAAAGTGCCGAATCGAGCTAATTTTGTTAGCGATGAGGAGAGGAGAAGGGGAGAGACGAGGAGGACGGGAGAGTTGCCGGGACTTGTGATGTGATGTGGAAGGGTTAGCTTTTATTGGCTTGAGCTTGTGACTATTGATGGGAAATCGTGGCATCATTGTTGCTATCAAACAAGGCTTGTCTTGGCGCTGTGCTGTACTGCGCTGCTGCTAGGGGGCGGTGTTGCGCTGGCTGGCTGAGTCAATCAGTCACATCACAGACAGAGAGAGGATGAATCATTCATTACTTAGGTGCGATTAGTGAGTGGTAGGAGAACGAGTTGTATCACTCTGTAACCGGACAGCGCTCGCTACCAATTTGGAATCTCGTATCCTTGACATTTCGCCTACCTACACGTCTATTCACGGGGCTTTAGGAGCGGTGTCAGTGTATGCGTCAGTAGTTGTCAACTAGCACGGGTAGAATGATGTACAACCCGATAGGTGCCAATGAGGGGAATTGAAAAGACACGTTGGTAATGATGCGACGTGATAAAGTTCAATAGAGATATGTACAAGGGCCATTGTTGATTAGAGTTGCTGTATCGGCACATCGAGTCGCATCGAGTACTGATGAACTCGACAACACCTTATCTAAGAGACTGTGAACCTATGGGGGTGACTGAGGATATCCATAGGCGTGTACGTAGCATTGCATGAGTTGGTCTAAAGCATCCGCCTATGAGATGTTTCATGAGTGAACATTCGCAACCACAAGAAAGGGGATTCATCATCAGACAAAGAGGTCAGAAAAAACAGATTAGAAGTGGTGAGTGGGTATAAAAAAGTACATATGGTTGAAGGAGAGATGATGGGTGGAAGCACTGATGGCTGATACGAACTCTCTCCGTGGTCAAGTACACAACTACCTTAATGGTCATTTGAGTATGTGCAGAGCTGACCTCGAGTTGCCTGGTAAATGTACGAACCTTGACATTATCCCGTCTTAGTTCGTTGTTGCTGCTCTTGGTGCACCGAAGTGTGATGTTGAATCAAGGCTGGCAACTCTCGTGGCCAATCAGAACAAGCCAGGTTGATGCCGTAGTAAATCTCCAATAACGAAGAATGAGAATCGAAGGCACAGTCACTCAATGCAGTTCAGTGAGGGGCGAGCCAGTCTCAGTAGCCAAGGGAGAAGTTTATCAGTCACAACAGTAAGTATCGTGCCAGTGCTGATAGAGTTGCAGAACAAGTTCTCCAAGCATCGAATGCCCTCGCCTCCAAGGGTTCAACCGATAGATAGGTAGCGTTGGCTTGTCATTGATTCATTTCGTAAGATTTATTAACCAAGGCAATCTATAATAAATCCACTCTTTTCTTCTACCGTTTCCACACAACTTCTCTTCCGGGTTCCCTGGCAATTCCGTTACGACGCAAGGTAACTGTTGACTTTTGCCTTAGCTCTTTGCAGGGCCCCACACGCCCCCATTTTGAGATTCCTGGACTTCCATGTACCTACCTACTATTCATTCATTCTCCCGTCCATTCTCAACCTAACGTTAAACTTATCCCTTTCCTACCTACCTATTCATTCCCCTTCCTCGACTAGGTATTCATCGTCAACTCGACAGTCTGTCACTCGTTGAGCTCTGATCTCAGTCTCTACACAACTAACCTCTGAGTTATCCTGTACGTAATCACTTCTCTTGTCCTTACTCGTCAACTTCCTATCTACCAAGTTGATGTAACTAACTGCGCTTATTGTCTTTAGCCCTGGGCCCCCGGCTCTAAGATTCCAGAATCAGATCCTCAACCAACCAGGGTATTGGTCTTGACTCTCCCATTCCTGCTTCCCGACGCCATCCACTTCAACTTTACCTGAGGTGACCTTATTTTATTTCATCTCACCTCACCTCACCTCCCAAGCAAGCTGTGGCAGTGGCTGTACTAGTTACTGGTAGTTTTCTGCCTTGCCTTACCTTAGCCTCAGGTAATACCCAAGGTAATTAATTGGCAACCTGAGTTGTGACCATTGACGCGCAAGTCAACTCACTTCTTTTTCTTGCAACTACCTAAACTCGATTTTTGATAACGCGCCATCACCTAATTCTCTGTTCTCTCGTCTTCTTTTTTTTTCAACGCCCCCAACAGTCAACCCAATTGCGTTTTCATCAACTGAAACCAGCCAACTCACAAACAACTCTTTCGCGCCTCAGTATAACCAAGTGAGGTTATTCCTTCGAGTCGCGTCATGGAGAATACCGACAGCGACAAGCCCAGGCCGGTTGCGCCAACTGAGCCCATGTCACCCGCGCTCTCTTTTGGTGTTCCCAAGCCTTCAACTTCTAGAGCTGCCTCACCAGCTCGTGTTCCGACGCCAGATTCTGCCCGTGCCATAAAGGTTAAGAGCCCTTTGGCTGAGAGCGCGCCTGTAACCGTTGCAACAACAGCTATATCTGTGACCACAGCACCTCGAGCCGCATCTCCACCAGCAGTCATGCCGCCATCACCATTACCGAGGGCATCAACTCCAGTTCCAGTTGCTAAGGATCGCGCTCCTTCACCGATGAACGCGCATTCACCTAATACTGCTAATGGAAAGTCGCCAGTTGTTGCTCCGTCTGCCGCTATAAGCGCATCACCAAGGCAAGTCATATCTCTGTTGTTATGGGTTGTTTTCTCTTTCTTTCTCTGCTTGTCCTCAGACCTCCCCCATACTCATCAAAACATTCACGCCGTATTCGATTGCTTCGCCATCATGTCTTTCGCGTCCTCAGCCAGTCAAGTGATTGAGCCAGAGAGTGAGCGAGTGGCGTGGCTCTGAACAAGGGTTTACGGCCTAAGTTAGTTGGCATTGCCCGATTTGTCAACACAAGGGCAATTATTGTTGACCGCGTCTGGCCTGACTGTATCTCATCGTGATTTCTTGAGAGATGCGGAGACTTGTGAGTCTAATTACAATCGACGAATCAAGGAAGTGGCAGGATTTGATCCCAAGCGGTGTCGAATGTTGCCCAACATGAACCGAACAGGCTGAATCACTCACTCACTCACTCACTCACTACCGCAAGTTGCATTCAGTCTCTTTAGTTGGAGATGGAGCTACAACTAACTCAACTGCACTGCAACTTTCCTGCTTCAATTCAATGACAACTGGCAGCAGCGAATGTCTCTCTCTCTTGTTTCATCCTGGCTCAAACCTTCTTTCCTGCTCACGCTTTCATCTTTGTTTTTGTATTATTTCCTCTTGTTTTGTCTAAACATACAACCTCGTCTTTCAAACTTCTTGACAAAATTAACTATACTTTTGACCTTTTTACTGGAAAAGAGGAGGATTTTGGAACCAACCACACGCTCTCACATCCACCCTCAGGGTGTGGACCCAAGACTATGGTTTCTCTCAAAGACCTTAGGTACCCCAGCTCTTCTTCCCATTCCCCCTTTGGTCTCACATCCTTGCCCCTGTAACATCGTCATCTTTCACCTCGTACTGTATCATACACCCCTGCTACCACACCAGGCTTCATCAACCTAACAAACCTCACCTCAACTTGACGATGGATTCGGGATCCTGTCAGTCTCAGCCCGCACATTTTCTTTCACTATATACACCGATGCTCTATTAGATCGAGTGGTCCTTGGGCATCTTACTTTCTACCCGAGTTCAGCGATAGTTGACTTTATTCAATGCATTTGTCTTATATCACACTGTGTTTCAGAATATAGCGCTGGCCAATGAATCGCATCTAACTCAACCTCACAGACCGATCAACGGTCGCAAGACTTCCATCGGCGATGCAGATGCTGAAAGCGAGCTAAGTGAGCCGCTGAGCACTGTACATTCTCCGTCGGGAGTCGACTTCAACGAACTTGAGGACGAGATAGTAGTGGGGGCCCGCACTAACGGTATTCGCAAGTCGTCTCCTCTTCGGCCAGCATCTGAAGGCGATGACGAGATCATGGGAGATGCTGAGGATGAGCCCGTGGCTTCCCACTATCCAAAGAGAAAACGCAACTCCATTTTCCAGGGCCTCAATGAAAGGAAAATGGAGCCGGTGAGGTCTCTCGCTGACGAACGACAACCACAAGCAGCAGCAACGAAGAGCAAGCCTCCACGTCTAAGCACAGGAAGCGTCAAAGGCGTCACCATTGGATATTGGAGAGACTCAGAGGCTCCCACTGTGGATCTTAAGCATGCTGTCATTGGTTTCATCGATGTTCGCGAGCGATTACGGACCCGTATCCAGCCCACCACATTATCTGGAGAAACAATATCAGACGAATATCCCTTGCCACCGGGACCTGGTGGAAGTTGGGTAACTTTTGACAAGATTGTGTTTTTGGATCATCTTGTGGGCTTAGACCAGCTACAGGTCAAGGAGTATGTCAAGATCCGTGCCGAAGCAGCTGGGACAGACGAGCTTGAGGAGGAGAGAGTTGCTGCTGAGAAGGCTGCCGTTAAAGAAGCAGTTCGTCGGGCCAATCTCAACTCGACTGCTGAGCACGGCACGAATAATCTTCCTCAGCTCGCTTATGGTGTTGATCTTCCCGAACACTTGCAACAGAATCGCGATGCCAAAAGGAGGAGGACGAGCGGAGGGTTTGCGCCAGCCAACCCTCCTCCCTCCAATGGCCCTGTCATTGAACATACTCCCATTCAGCCAGCCCCCGGTGGTCCGCAACCTTTGCGACACACTGTTGATCCCCTGCCTGGCACTAGACCTACTAGAATTCTTATTGGGCATTGGGCAAAGTCTAACTTGCCCGACCCCCGTGATCGCCATGCAGTGTACGGGATCTTGGGACAGAACGACATGTTCCGCGTTAAGCTGGTACGAGAGACGCGCGACGGACGCTTCGTTGACGGAAACTTTCCCGCTGGGGCTGGTGCACTCTGGATTGCCTACGAGGAAGTTGCATTTGAGCCACACTTGAAAGGCCTTGCACGGAACGAGATCAAGGAATATTGCCGTGTTCGACAGTATCAGATCGATATGGGAGAGAAAGAAGGGGAACGAACCTCGAACGAGACCAAAGCTGTTTATGAGGCACAGGCAAGGGCTGCGGGAACGAATTACAAGGCGCCTGCTCCCTTGTCCATTGCACCCGCTCTACCCCGTCTTCCAGGCGATTATGGCGAAGAATCTGATCAGACAGGGCGAATGGGATATGGTGGCCATGAGTTGCGTCAGAGTCGCCGCGTCGAGGCCGCCAGAGCCGAAGCACGCCAGTCATACATAGATATCGACACTCCTCCTCAGCCTGCGCCAGCTCCTCGCCAAAGCACTGGTAGGACATCGCTGAACAACAATGCGATCGAAAGAACATCTGCGCTAGCGGAGCGTGAGATTGCACGCGTCGAGCTCGCTCAGGATCGCGCTCATATGCAAGCAGTGAACCGTGAGCGGGCAGCAGCTGCGGCCGCCCAGGCAGCCCAAGCAGCTGCAGCAAACATCCCTGGTATAGCTGTTAATGGACGGCAACAATTACACGAGCGGGACGAAATGCAACGTCTTAATAAGGTCTGGGCACGTCAAGAAAGCCTCCGACTAAGAACGAATGCCGAAGACGCAAAGATGTATGCCGGGGTGAAGTATGAACGCAAGACACAAGGCCCATTTACCGGGAAACTCGTTTCACAAGGCACTATTATCAATATTGACGGCGAGGACTACATCGAGTACCGTGTTCTCGCTAAGCCATCATTCTTCTAGAATAATGATGATTGAGGCATATGAACACTAGGAAGCACCCATCATATTGGACGAAGCGCTTGTAAGCACAAACAAGCCCGATACATCACCAACTCACATTACCTTTAATATTTACCTACACATCACCTGCAGCAAAACGCCTTTGTTTCAGGTTCAACCTCCGTATACTGTGGGAGAGGAGAAGACTCTTGACAAGATATTGAATTTTGAGCAAGACAGAAGTTTGGGTGGCTCTACAGAAAAGGACTCGGTCCACTTGCACTAGAATGGCTGTTGATGCTAACATTTTATCTTGCTTTACTTTTCTTTTGTCGTTTTATACCTGATGGTTGTGTTTCGTCGTACAATAGCTCAAGGCTGGGAGGTGGGATGGATGTGTCTAGCAGATTAGACTCCGCGGAAACGGAAAGGACGGAGTTTGGGGTCGGTGTGCTCCAGAATTATACCCGGTATGGGCAGACGGTATTTCATTGCTCTTGTATGAACTAGACATACTTTTTTATTATTAATTGATGCTCTGGAAGCATATATTGGACCGAATGTAACATCGTGACCGCTATGTCCAGCCTATTTGTGTTAAACAGCCACCGGAATAGTTTCAAATTGGCTTCAGAAGGTGATATCTCGTTTTGAGATGCAGTCGAGCCAGTATAAGATGGCAATTGGTACTCCGACGCTGTAGTATATACTATTGTAACATAACTGGCTTGGGGCTTCCTGTGGATAATAGTGGCATGTACTGCAACGCTTTTATATACTTGAGTTATTCATTGTGGAATACTTACGGATTGTAGCCATGATAAGAATTAATGTATATTCACTAGAGATGGCTTACAGGCGTCCAATATGCATAATCATGTTTTTGGCGCGAGGCAATTTGTATGTGGGGTATATACTAAAATCCGTGCCCATTCTTGCATCAAATCCTCTCAAGCCGTCATCGTATAGGGGTCAGTACATCAGTTTGTGGCTATTCGAAGCACTGAAAACGCAAGTTCGAGTCTTGCTGACGGCAAAAGAATTATATTTTTGCAATTTTTGCCGATTACAATCTATGTGCTCTTTTATATGCTTGGAGTTTATTTTGCATTTTGTGGTAGGCGCTGTTATTAATCCATGATGGTGGCTGCTACACAATTGTTATAAACGTCATGATGTATAGAATGCATTACGGCTTGCGACTTATCCGTTGGGCTTAGCTAAAAAGCTGTTTGTTAAGTCCTTAATAGAGATCAATTCTTCACCTTGCACAGTCTGATGATCGGCCTCGGGAAAGATATCGGTCCTTTGCGCGGCCTGTAACACATCACGAAGGAGATGACTCCCTTTGCGGAAATATACTCGAGTGTGTAATCCGCTATCTCGGAGAATCTACAGTTGCCAAGAGTGACGGACTGGGACAGAGTCACAAGAGGAAGATGCACTCGGAGTAATCTCACTTGGTGTAATGTGATGACCAGAAGAGCAACGAGTAAGAGGCCATAGCCAGCTGGTCATCACATACACGGATGATGACTCTCCCGAGGAGCCTATATCGTCATGACGTCGACGAGTCCCGTCCGGATGGTATGGCCTACTTACTGTATGCTTGCTCTTTAGCAGGCAGCGCAGTGAGTGGTTCGCTGATATTGGTGCAAGGCAAGGGTTTATCAGCTCTTCAGGAGAGCCAACGCCAAATACGAGGTTGGGACTCGGCCAATCGTGTATAGCACAGAGACAGGAGTTTCTATTTGGGGCGAGTGCCCAGACTCGAAAAGCTCCCACGTGAGTAGGACTCATTTCATGCGGCGAGAGGTCGATGGCGTTCGTCCCTTGTGCATACATAACCCCTGCTGCAGAGGTTCTGTTTCACGATATGAGTGAGGGTGAGCAGAGCAGAGCACGTTGTATGTAGTCTATGTAGTAGACCCTAATGCGCTGTGCCGAGAGTCAGCCTCGACTCAGCTCAGAGTTGTGCACTAGTTAGATACCTAGGTAGACAGACACGGTATAGCACAGTAGTAATGTCTCGTCTTCACCGCAAAAGCGAGGTGCATATTTTGGAACAATTCTTATGCGAGTTGAATCATGTGTCTCTGATTGTGTCAGCGTCTACCAGTAGCAGAAGTAGCAGCAAGATCAAACATGCGGAGGGTAGATGATCTACTGCAAGATACCGTCTTATAGACATGAGATTGAGAGAAAAAACAAACTTCAAACGGGGGGACCCCTTCTGAAAAAGTGGCAATCTGCAGTGCATTTCAGCTCTTCCAACACGCGGGAAAACATGGCTTCAGTGGGGGTGAGAGGGTCTTGTGTAACCATCAGCAAATGGTGAACGCGCAACTGAGGGAGAACTCACTCAACTCGAACGAGAGAAGAGCATAGATACATATACAAGGACACTATCGTATGTGCATATCCTTTGCATGGCCTTTTACTCGAAACCTCGACTAGAATTGCCGCTGACCTTTCAGAGAAAATATCTAGGATATACCCTCACTCCAAGTAACTATTGTATTAGTGAAAACACACTCAGCATAATTGGTTACCCAGAATGCAACATCCTTGTCGAATACTCGCTTGGCCTGCCAAACAACGACCGTTTATGCCATTGCAACACACAACGCAGCTGAAGTATGTCTCTCTCTCTATCTCTCTCTCCGGCTACTATTCCCCTGTAAACACCGTCCCTTTCTATAATGTCATGTCATGTCATGTCCTACACCAACAAACATCGGCTTCTAGACTTTCCGTCCCTTTCCCATCCATCCGTCCATCGTGGCAGCCACAACTAAACAACCCTGCCCAAGAAACAAACGACGAAAGAGGCCTCGAAAACCTTCTGGTATAGGAAATATTCTCCGTCCGCCACGATGCAAGCCCCCCTCGTGTCTACCAAGTTTGAGTGGATGGAAGAGAGAGAGAAAGGCATACGAGGCTATTCTCGTCGGACGCGGGTAACTGCAGTGTCGATGCCGTGTAACACTTGAACAAACAAAAGACGTAGACATGCATTACATTACATTACATTGAGGCTGTATGATAGTGGCAGAGTCACCAAGGCACCAGCCTGATCTTGTCCATGCTACCGGTCCTGCCGTGAGAACTATCACCGGTTTGTGCTTCGTACTTTTGGGGCCTGGGCCTAGAGACTTTGTTTTGTGATTTGTTGATCACAGGATGATTAGAGTGACAGCTACAGCTGCAGTTGTAACTGTTATAGGTCCAGAGAAGAAGAGAGGGCAAGCTAACTATGTGAGATGCCGTCTCCTCAAGTATTCCTCACCTCGCTCGTTTGACCCTTTTCTCTTTTCTCCCTCTCCTCTTCCCGTTTTTTATGAATTAGTCTATTTCCTTTCCGTTTCTGTCATTATCGTCTATATCCCTCTCGCTTCGAGTTGCCTTCTCTTATTTCAGCTGAAACCCCAGAGCATGTCCCATCAATAACACATCCATCCTCTCCCCCTCCCCTTTCCCCCCTCTTCCTCACTCCTTCAAATGTCCACCAAGACAAAAGGCTGCAGCGGCCACAGCTGGGGCTTCATTGCGCCTGATGTTCAGGATCCGCCACTATGCATCAGCTTGTGTAGGGAGAGGTTCCTCAAGGAGCTGGTGCCAGGGGATGAGACAATTGATCGCGTGTGCGAGGTTCTCCAAGACAGTGACTGGATGGAAAAGGAGCAGCCGTTTCGGGCGCTTTATTGTTGTGATGCTCAGGCTTGTGGCGTGGATAATCTGGGCGAGGGCGGAAAAGATCGTATGTGATGATAGCTTTGGGTGGTTGAGATGCTAACAGGTATAGCGAATGTGAATTGGCTCATTAATACTTGTCAAGAGTAAGCTCATATCTACTGTATAACTTGGCTACTCGTACTAATACATAAAAGTCATGGCTATCACTCTATACTAGATCCAGGCCCTCCACAACCATATCACATTTGTGATCCTGAGTCTCTCAACGAGGACAAAGACTGCCAAAAAGCAAAAGGAACAGACAAATCCCAAGATGCATCATCTCAAACGAAATTTGAGGCTTCGACAGCAGAGAGTACTCTACAAACAACTACAAACCCAACAACATTAGAAACAACTTCAGTTCCAATACAAAGCTCAGTACCAGAAACCACATATTCCACCACAACAGACCCTTCAACACTCGCAACCTCCGACCCCTCAAGCAGCGACTCAAGCAATACCAACAAAGGAATGCCCTTGGGCGTCAAAGTCACAATAGCTATCATCTCAGTCGTCGGTCTCCTCGCCATCGCCGCCCTCATATTCTGCCTTCTTCGAAGACGTCGATCTCGCAAGACTGATATTCGAAGACTCATCAAGCACCCATCCTCACCTCCTCCTCGCGCAGACTCACCTACGCCTTTGGTTTCACCCACTATTTCCCATACAGATCCTGATGGTGTCCCGCTCACACCACCTGCACGACTTCGAGAGCGAAGATTTCTAGCAGATGAGCCGAATGGGTTTCCTACGTCTCCGGTGTACTCACCTACGAGCAGTAAACTCTCGCCACGGCATGAGAGGACACCGAGGATTTGTAGTGCCAACCAAGTTCCCATGATAGTCATGACGGCACCTGATGGAGGAAAAGTCAGGGATGACGGATCGCTGAGTTTCAGTGATGGAATTATCACTCCTCCGCCTTCTGCTCACGTAGCACCTCTTGGCTATAACGCCCAAACTTCTCCACCAAGACCCCCAAGATCTCGCGATGCTTCATTCAACATGCTCGCTAGCCCTGGGCCTCCACCCACGAGGGCACTTCCATCGACACCTCCTTATCGACCTTCAACTCCAACGTCGCCACCTAGAAAAGGAACGATGCCACTCTGAGACTTGAGAGATACTCAAGTCCATATCATACCCGAAACTATGTCGAGTTTATAGAAATGATTCTATGTCGGAGAGTACAGATAATGGGACCACCAAGATAGACGTTGGATATCGTACACGACGCATGTATGTATGTATGTATGTATGTATGTATGTATGCATGCATGCATGATGATGACACTGAGCAGTGGTCAATCGTTACACGATCCACAACATGTAATATCCTTAACAGGCACTTTCACTACAGTACTTTACTTTATTTCTTCTATGTAACATACTTACTTATCTATCTCATCCTCTAAATACCAATTTCCTTCAGTGACTTGACAAGATCCGTCACACTCTTCTCAATGCTGATCCAGTCAATCTTGAGCAATTTCTCCGTCTCCTGCGTATCAATCTTGAAGATCTGATCCTTGGGAGGAAGCTCTCCGCCCTTGACTTCAGGCCCAGGCAGTCTATCCTTAAACTCTGGAAAGTTCTTGGCAACAGCGTCGATAATCTCACGGTGCGAGAACCATCCAGCTGTAGCAAAGAGTCGCTTTCCACCAGCGTCAGGTTCCTCGAGACCTCTGACGTGAGCACGAGCAGCATCTCGAACGTCGATCCATAATGGAACAGGTGTACAAGGAGGAATCTCATCTTTCCAGCCGCCCCTCAGAAGCTTTACAATCCTCTCATTGGAAGTGTTGATGCTCTCAAGTGTAGCAAGATGCTTTGATACAGGTCCCAGAACCAGAGGCGGACAAACAGTCACGATGTCGAAAGAGGGCTTCTTCCCAGCGACAAAGTCCCAAGCTGCACGCTCAGCGAGAGTCTTTGAGGCGCGGTAGGCGGTCATAAATGAGCTGCTGATGTCATCGATTGTGACTGGGTTCCAGGTCTTTTCTGAGAAGACGTGGGAGCCGTCTGTGAAGTGTGCTTCGTCGAGAATAGAGGCGAAGGATGAAGTTATGACGACCCGCTTCACGCCTGGGGCCGAGGCGTGGAGGGCCTTGAGAATACCTGTTGTGCCGATGACGGCTGGGTCTATAAGATCCTTCTTAGGGTCGGCTAGACACTGTCAGTCAGTAATTTAAGCATGGCCCAAAATGCATCGAGACTCACTAATATTGTAGTGAAAAGGACTGGCAACATGAATAACAGCATCAAGACCAGGTGTCTTTGCTACTTCATCAAAAGCATCAGGCTTAGCAATATCTGGCACAAGAACAATCTCTAGCTTGCCAGCCTTTGCTTTGTCCGGGAATGCATTGCGGATCTTTTGAGCCTTATCCTCTGAGCGGACAGTTGTCACGACGGCGTAGTCCTTTTCAAGGAGTTGTTCCAGGGTGTGAGCTAGCGTTTGTTAGTTGAGTGCTATTCTTAACTGTTCTCAAGAGAACACCATACCGGCAATGAAGCCTGAACCACCTGTGATATTATTAGTGACTGGGTCAACTTGAGGGTATAATGAGAGCTTACCAGTGAGGAGAACCTTTGTCATGATGATAACCTTGCCAATTGAGCGTTATGCAGTTGTATAATCGAGTTTCTATGCTTGCAGAGTGTGTACCAACAGGTAAAGAAGATTCTCAAGACGCAATATCTCGTCGTTTGACGTCAATGGTCTCTTATACCTCGGATACATGTTGGGGGTCTTTGATAAACTGGGCCCGCATTCGTCATTTCAAGTTGGGGGATTCGACGATTCACTTTCCCCTCCCCCACGTTCTCTTCCTCTTTTGTCACTATATGCAACTCTATTCATCTTCCGCTACCGGAGAGTTTCACTCCGACTACAATCTCCATTAATAAGCCCAAGATCGTATCTGAAAACCCTGTATATCAGATCATGTATGTATATATATATATGTATACACATATCTGTTCACTCACAACAAGGAACTGAAGTACTATCACATGTCTCATAACCATCCATAAAATACACATACAAAATAAATTATTACAGTCGAGACAGATGAACGAGAGGGTAATTCCATGTAACGCTTGGTGTAGGCCTATACCAAAGATTCGCTGCATCGACCTCCTATTCCTAGTTGATAATGATGGCTCGTCTCGGCTCCTGACTTCCTTCACATTGCCACTTTGCTCCAACGGATAAAAGTCCATATCAACATAGACATCAATCGCCAAGCATATGCCCAGGCCAGTTCGCCCCTCGCTAGGAAGTCCCGTTCTCGTTCATGTCTCGCAAGGGCATGCCATCCAATTTCATACGCAATGCTCGCTGTAGAAATATGCGCTTGAGTTGGATCATCACCGCTTTTTCCCACGCGTCACACAATGCATGTGGCGCGAACTACCCATCGCATCCTCTTCACCTTTTCTACCCCAGTCTTGGCGTGTTTTTCACTACCAAATCTTGGTGCTCAACCTTCAGTGTTTGATGTTTCTGCTGCAGCTGGCGGTGCAGGTGTCTCCGGAGGTTGAGGATGAGCCACGCCGCCGAGACCAGGAGGTGTCGGGGCTTGCTGAGGGATAGGCAATGTCATAGGTCCCTTAGGAGCGATGATACGCCCAGGGAGGCTCTCCCCGCGAATCACCTTCTCCACCTCAGCCTTGTCCAAAGTCTCGTATTTAACGAGAGCCTTGGCTAACAAGTCAAGTTCGTTTCGCTTGTCCGTCAACAGTTTTCGTACATCCTCGTACGATTTTCGTATTGTCCTTTGAACCTCGCCTTCGATTGCTGCCTTTGTTTCCGAACTGAGGTTCTCGTATCTTCGGCCATACTCAACAGGTCCCAAAACACTAGACATGCCAAAGAGTGTCACCATCATGAAGCTCAAGTCGGTGGCTCTCTCGAGATCCTAAGAGAAATGAGTATATGTTCGTTATAGCTTCTGCTTTATTAAAACTTACCGATGAAACACCAGATGTCACCTTGTCGTCACCGTATCTTAGCTCTTCGGCCATCTTTCCTCCAAGTGCGACGCGGATGTTTGACATATACTCAGCAGCTGTGTAGGAATACTTGTCCATCTGGGGAAGTTGGGCGGTGTGACCCAGCGAGGGGCCTTTGGGGAGAATTGTGACCTTGTACAGAGTGTTTGAGCTCTCCTTGTCGAAAAGCTGGACAAGCGCATGGCCAGCCTCGTGATAAGCAGTCATCTCCTTCTCTTTCTCAGTGACAACCATTGACTTGCGTTCAGAACCCATGGTGACTCGGTCGTAGGCCCATTCCATATCTTGCTTCCGAACAACACTAGCCTTGGCCCGGCTGGCTCGGAGAGCGGCAACATTCAGCATGTTCTCAAGCTCGGCACCAGACCGACCGGGGCATCGAGCAGCAATAGCTTCGAGGTCAACATCAGGTCCAACCTTGATCTTCTTGGCGTGGTGCTTGAGAATAGCAATGCGGCCGCGAACATCGGGCAGTTCAACATTAACATGGCGATCAAATCGTCCGGGTCGGGTAAGGGCCTTGTCGAGCATTTTGGGCAAGTTGGTGGCTCCGATGATGATGATTTTGCTGTCCTGATCGAAACCATCCAATTCGGTAAGCAACTGGTTCAGTGTCTGCTTGGCATGAGCTTGGTCGCGTGGGTTTCGCTTGCCTCCAATGGCATCGAGTTCGTCGATGAAAACAATAGCAGGGGACTTGCTCTTGGCCGCGGTGAAGAGGTCACGGACTCGCTTGGCACCAACGCCAACAAAGATCTCGTCGAACTCGCTACCAGACATGTAGAAAAAGGGGACACCAGCTTCGCCGGCAACAGCTCGAGCAAGAAGCGTCTTACCAGTACCAGGAGGGCCAACCAGGAGGACGCCCTTGGGCAGTTTAGCACCAAGATCGCTGAACTTTTCGGGATTCTTCAGAAACTCGACAACTTCTTGGAGTTCCTCTTTAGCTTCGTCGCAACCGTGAACATCGTTGAACCGAGTATTTTGCTTCTCAGCCTTGACCTCAGAGTCTGCCTTGCTACTAGGTCCACCGCGACGGAATGTACTGAACGCCTCGATGGCAATAGTAACAAGCGCGAAACAGAGATAGGTGGTCACAATGAAGATAGCCAAAAACTTAACCCAGCGGAAGATAGTAGACCGAGTTGACTCCTGAACGATAACGTGGATGGGCTCGCCCTTGTGGCCCATAGGATTACCACCATTGGCGGATCCAGCCACAGCAGCGTTGGCAATACCTTGCTCATAAGTTGGCCATTGAGTTCCAGCAAAGTTTCCGTTCACAGCACCTTGCGCATTCGCAGCTTGGTTAGCGTTAACACCAAGCATTGTGAGGGCTCGCTGGTAAGTATCGTTGGTTGCAGCGTTGGAGGCAAAGCGTCCAGATTGATATCGTTCCACAAGAATAGCGGGCATGTTGGCGCGGAGAAGGAGCTGGTAGAAAGCGTTTTGCGCATTCGCATTACCGGGGTTTCGATTGGCGGATTCCTCCAATGTTGCCAGTTGGTTACGGGAAATGCCATTGGAGCTGCCGAATGCTCTGCGCTGGACAGAAAATGCACCGAGAGTTGAGATACCGCGAGAAGATGAGAGGATATCGGAAGAAGACTGCGAAAACGAGCGTAGGAAAGACGACTGAGTCGATACGCGGGGCTGAAATTGAGGGTGTCGCAAAATGGGGTTGGCCGCTCGGAGGCCAATGCGGCCCATATTGGAGAGAGTTGTCTGCGCAGTCATCGGGGTCATGGGAGAGAATCGTGAGCGAGAGAGGGAACCAAAGTCAACTTGTTGAAGAAATTCGGGGATTCGGAATTCGGTCACCTGTAACACAGATTAGTATGATGGTTGAAAATGTCAAACTGTTACGACATACTCGTTGAGCTTCCGTCACCTTAGTCTGTTCCACACCATTCTTCGAAGGGGCCGATCGACTGGGTGTGACTGAAGTCATATGCCGCCAGGGAGCCATGGCGATATTCGTAATCGAAGGCCATAACTCCGTTGTTGTCGCTGCCATGTTCTAGAGCCTCGTTAGTTACCGTCGGCGATAGCTTTCTCCTAAACTCCGCAACAACATACAGGCAGCATCATGGCATTGTAAGCCATGCTGAGGAACTAGATGCACCAGAAGTGCTTTCGGGATGATGATTTTCGTACTGATGCTCAGAAAAAGGTTGGTTGTAAAGTGTCTTGATGACGTGCAAGTAGGCAGGCAGATGGTCTGCGCCTCCGCCACGTCTAACGGTTTCTCGGGAGGCAATCGTTTGCCGTGCACCGAGATTGCTTCGTGTTAAGTCTACTCAAAGAGACAAATGGATTGTCTACCGGGATGCACTCATAGTGAATCGCGCGCAGGCATCATCAGTATGTAATCGATGGGGAGTTCGGTTCGCTTGCCACTCTGGTCCGCTGTTCGGCATCACACGATGGGCCCTTTCCTATTTGAGAGGATGCTGAGTCATCCTCTCTCGGCCATCAGATCTTCCGCCTCCCGATCACGGTCGTCACAACTCTCTTGTCATTGGTTGTGAATTAAGTGCTGTGTAAGTGGCCGTATTGCTTTGACTGTGAATTTGCAAAACAGCTTGTGTTCGGGACTTTGGTTGCTGTGATCAGTAGAAGGCTAGTGTATGTGTTGGGGGATAGATCTAGCAGGCTAGTGGAAGTAAGACATGTTGAGGCGTCAATTCTAAGTGACAAAACACTCGGAGAGACGTAGATCAACATACGCGAGCCTCTTTGTGACAGGCGTTGCTTCTCTATATCTTTCGTCCAATATCTCAGGTAATTCCTTCTCGTCAGGTATAGGGCGGTTTCTGTGTTTCTTAGATCTCATGGATGAATATTTATGTGGGTATATTAGATGTTAATAAGGAGCTTCGTTTATTTTCTCCATTTCTGTCATGCGTGGGTATTCTCATTTTCTCCCATGGCCCCTATCGCCCCCAAAAGTCCCAGTAAACCCTTCCCGCCCTCTTGAATCTTCATAAAGCCTTGTTATGCCTTCTCAAAATGTCATCCCCAGTGGTACTCCCTTCCCCCCTCCTAATTATCTGTCTAATCCAATATCGACACATTTCTCTTCAAGGGTATAGGTGCTGTTCAATGCTGAATAAAAAAAAGAAAGTGAATGCCAACAATAGTAGAGAAAGTCTCAAAAACATAGTGCCATTAATGTTCCAGGCTATCAAGGATGAATGACACAGTGTGCTGTAATGCCAACCATCCAATATCAGGAATGTTAAGCTGGAACATTGGCCGCAAAAGGCAAATTGCTCTCAGAATTCCACTAATGGCAAAAAGCAAGACAGAAACGCCAAATGACATGCTTTTCAAATCGCGGATGACATCTTTCATGTGTTCTAGAGATATGCTCGTGGATGCAATAGAACAGTACGTTTCTTCCAGTAATGTCCCGATGGGTATATCCTCTTCAAGAATAATAATTAAGTTCATGAAACAGAGATCGTTGTGTGGTCCAGCCTTGGTATGATCGTGATGTTACAAGTGATTATCGTAAATGGAAAGGGGTAATTGCTTAACGTGTTGAATATGGCGTTCGTAAAACATAGCGTGGTTCAA